AGAAAGTCACTCAAACCTTGAGTCTATCTAACTGATACTTGTCCGCAGCAGCCAAAAGCGTATCAGCCATTCGTTCCAGATTTGGTGCCGTATCCGTGTACATAAATCTTAGCAACTCTTTCATAACATCAGGCTCCACGTCATCAACAACAACCCTATCGGATTGAGCCTCGCTCATTTTATGTTCAAAACACGCGGCAAAAACAGGAGACCGAGCAGCCAAAAGCGCCTTATGGACCTGAAACTCAACAAAAAAACACGCTGCAACTTCCTGTAACAGTGTGTATCACAAGTGCGAATCTAACATCTGAAACTGCAAAAAAAAAAACTTACATGAAATTCCCTGTCGCGTCCTGCAACAAGAACACAATCTGAAAATGAGTGCTTTTCAAACAGATTAGCCATTTCATCAGCAAGTCTTGGCGGAGGTACTTTAAACTGCATGAGGTTAGATTGTCCAGTAACATTTACAGTCTCTGCCACGACCGAAACCTAATAATTAACATAACAGTTGATTCAAAAATTCCATTAATTAATAACCCACAATACCACAGAATATAATAAATCCTTTTTAACATTTACCATTGGCAATTTACAATTTCAAACAGCACAATCCTCTCTGTAACTTGACTTTTTGAAACTAGGTAGTGCGAATCCCAGAGGAAAGTACCTTATTAAAAGTAAAGTAATAAGATTTAAATGTAACAGGCTAATTCGAAATAAGTACTTCGTTTTGGGAAGAAAAATAATCAAACAGCCTTTAAAAACTAAAAAAAACCGCGCTTGTCAATACCGATCCTAGCTTTACTTTATAAAATGCAAATTCATTCATATTCTATAATTCCCAACATCAAAAAAGTACTGACGTTTAAAATCTACCCTCAATTCTACTCCAAAACGATATCCTTTCCAAGACAAAGTGAATATGCATATCATTTCAGAACTTACAAGTCAAAAATACATGCTACTGCCGAAATTAAGTTTTTTTCCAAACCACAGACCCCAAAAAACCATGCGTAACAGGTGCCCTTCCATTTTGTACAGAAGGAACAGAAAAAATTTTTTTTTATATTTTATATCCACTTCTTGGAAAAGAGGCATAAACACAAAGCTCAGCCAGTCAAATTTCCTAATTGTCGAAAAAACTAAGACCCAATAATATGAGCTTAAGAAGAGAAACAAGAACCGAATTGCTTGAAAGAGTTTCTAAGGTAAAGCCATGATTATACGATATGTTTCTACCTTTTGAGACAAGCTAGTTCAACGGTGGCTGAAATCCCAAGTAAACCCAAAAAATACCAAAATCGCAAGTCCAGACTTACTACGCAAGAATAACAAAAACAACAATGTCACTTAGATAATCAAAGAAAAAAAGTACTTACCTCACAAAATATACTTAGCCTATCTTCGGGAAGAAGTCCATTTGTCTCATCTAACAAGAAATCGCGTCGAATAAACTTTTTAAAACCCCAGTCCTTCCCTTGCACAAAGCGGTAAGCGCGCTGCGACTCTAAAACAGTTCTACTCAGGGACTTTTAAAGGATAACTCCTTAGCAAAAAATCTACACCGCTACTAGTTCCTTTCTTGGGGGCGTCATTTAAGCGTATTGAAACAACAAACCCATGGCTTTTGTTTCTTCCCTCTTAGCGTTCAGTATTGAAAATTTAAATTTAGCACGGACTTCGCTCTTCGCACACTGAACTAAGAGCAGGTAGAGAGATAAGTAATCCTTGGATTCTTCGTCTAACCCTAGACAGAGACAATTAAAACTGCAAACAAGAAGCAATCACACGAGATATCCAAAACAAAGCTGGAAATTTCAAAACGGATAAAAAATCGGTCGTAACCAGACCTTTCGGGTTGATCCTTAGGCACCATTTAAGCTTATCGTTTGAACCAGCGCTAAACGTTGAGCTCTTTAAAACTTCACCCATTTCTTCCCGACAAAATGAAAAATTGTTGATTGTCCACATATAGTTGAATTTTATAACTTTGACCTGCAAAAAGAACTGTGGATAAATATTGCAAAAACTGTCAACATAAATTATTAGAAAAAAGCGAATCATAAAGTCTCGATTTTGTCCAAATTAGAGTCAGAAAACGAAATTACAGCTCACCTGCGTATGGCACCAGTTTTCTGCAACAGGCATATGAGCATCAGACTGACTACTAGATGAAGATGAATTACTCGCTGATGCAGATGGACTCTGTGGTCTACCACCACTCACTGACTGCCCAGGTCCTCCGCTTACCGCCTCATCCTGAGCTGCTCCGTCGAAATCCATGATAAAACCAATAAAGAAAAACAAAATAAGATTCTTTGTCTGCTTGGTACTCTTCTTTTCCTTCAATGACAGTTTTCAAAAATGAATTTGCTCAAAGCGCAAATATGCCACAAATAAATATGCGACAGAATGAAATGCTGGTAACAACAGCAATAATAGCAAGAATAAAAGTAGTTTCAGGAAAAATACAACAGAAAATTTTCGATTTACTAGCCTACAATTAATCAGGTTTTCTTGTCTTCCAAACCTGCCAGAAACGAATAATGACAGTTGATATAAACAGAAACCGATATCCCCCGAGAATCTGCAAAACAATTATTTACTATATTTGCGGATCAGCCGTTGACGTTCCGGTCAGACAAAGTTCAACCGAGTTCTACACAAACTACAGCCAAATACAACCCTGAAACAGAAAAAACTTCTTCTCCTGCTTGTTCACTGCTTGATTCAACAAATAAGCCAAGCGTTTCCTAAACATACAAGCATGCGCGAAAACTGTTCTCCACTGCCAAAAAAAAAGAGGAATTACAAGTGATACCACATTAAAAAAAAAGAAGCAACGTTGATATACTTTATTGGTAACGACGCCTACAAAACGACACGATCAGCAATAGCCAAACCATCAGTGATGCCGCTATTCAACTTTAACCTTGATATAACCCGATAAAATTTCCTTCAGAATCCTTCCTGCTCTCATCTTTGATGCTTTTCAAACCTCATCCCCTTTCCTTCTAATGTCAAAAATTTGGTGAACATGAATCGTGGTCAACAAATTACTCATTGTCACTACAACTCTCCTCAATTTATTGTACATTCTTCCTCACCACCGCTTCAAACTCCCTTCTTCTGATCACCTCTTTTTTCATTTCGCAAATTTGTTTCAGTAGAGATTCAGAAAATGAGATGGCATTAAACGCATAGAAAATTATATATATAAAAAAATAAAAAAAAACATGGAAAGATATCTAAGTCCTCATCCCAAGTCTTTCTCACTCCACTTACAATCAAACTGAATCTCAAATTAAGAACTAAACATACCTTTACTGTGGCAAGCGTTCTACCTCAGAAAAAAGAATATGGATGTATTTACTTGTTTATTTATTTGTTTACTTATTTATCTGCCTACACAGTAGTTGAAAATAATAATCTAAGTAATCAGTTGCCTCCGTTTGTGCCCTCTGCCTACTGTTCGTTTCCCTAACTCAACGTTCCGATAACCAGAAAAAAAAGCAACTTAAACAAAATGCTGAAAACAAGAATTTTAGCTGTGAAGTGTTTCGACTCCCTTTTTCCCGGCTATA